AATCAGAGTGATTTCTTTGTCCAACTTTCTTTGGCCAACTGTCTACCGATTCAACAAGTTGAATCAGTCATGGGAGGCCGTGGGAGGTGTGAACATTTGCCGTAAAGAGACAACGGTGCGGGACACACCAACCTGAGTAGGGCGCCGCAAATGCCTGACGGCCTCTGACTCCCAAAATCGGGTTGGTGTGTCAGGGGCTTTAGCTAACAACAGTTAGCAGCTAACGTTTTCTGCAGTTTGTGTTGACACTGAAAAACGTGATGTAGTTATTTAAAGGTAAGATATAATGTTATCTTGCAAGTTGAGAGGGTTAAGTTTTGTTTAAAATCGTCAATGTAATGAATTACAGCGCTTGCCTCGGGGAGGGATTGCATTGAATTACAGCAGCAGGAGCAAACTCTTGCCTCGGGGATGGAGAAAAAGAGCCAGAGCGTCCACAGCGGAGAATAAACAGAAGGGCAACCATGGCAACCATGCGCGGGAAGTCTGCTTCGCTGCTTTTGTGGCAGACTACAGCGCCACTTACAGGCCTGGCATATGTACGACAGCGTCTCCAGCGCTTTCGAGCGGCAGTGGCCGTGGCCCAACCCCCCATTCCCCTGATAGGTGGAGAGTTGCCCATATAGGCGGAGCACCCCTTTTCTAACGTCAGAGAAATTAAAATCTGTATCAGCTCCGTTGCAGCCCCTTTTTTAGAGATTTGGGTATGGAGGAAAAGAGAGAGGGTTGTGTTTTCTGACACTTGGTGAGTTCCCTGGAACACCGGGGACAAATATTCATGTATAAAAGACGTACAAAAGTGCATTTTGCATGATAGGTCCCCTTTAAAGTAGTGTTTAAACTGAGCAAAATTATACCATATATATATATAACATATATATAACATACACCATATATTTTCTTGCAATTATATATTTTTTAAATGATTATTAACAGTATTTTTTATGTATTTGACAGTGATATATAGCCATAACAAAAGTATTTTTTTGTAAAATTACAGAAAATGCAGATAATTCAGAAAATCATTTATTTGTACGGTTAGTTTTGTTAAATTCACATTTAAAGGGGACCTATCATGCAAAGTGCACTTTTTAATGTTTTTTATACATAAAGATGTGTCCCCGGTGTGTCGGGGAATTCACGCAGTGTCAGAAAATAAAAACCTCTCTCTTTTCCTCCTTACCCAAATCTTTTAAAACGGGGGTACAACGAGCGGATACAGATTTGCTGCCGATATGACGTCATTTCAGATGGTGGACCCACAGAGAGTTGCTATCAGAAACAAGGCCTGACGTGTTTTGGACGTAATATGGTCTGTGTTTACATTAGCAAGCCTCGCTAACACTCAGAGCTAACCTGTACTGGAGAGCACATGTGTTTAAAAAGCAGGAAATAAAAAAAGGAACTCACCTTGTGATAAACCTGCAAGAGAAAAAGCATTTGAGCTCCATACTGTTTCAGAAATAATCCTTGATGTGGTTTAGAACAGGATGGAGTTTTATCACAGCAGAATTTAACTTTATCTCCGGGAGAATTCTGATCAGGCATTAGCTCTGCCTCCTCTTTTATTTTTCAAGCTAAGAACCCAAAATCTGCGTTTCTCTAACAGCTGGAATAGAGGGATATGAGGGATGTCTAAAGTGCATTCATCTGTTTGTATTTTGAGCAAAACACATCATAGACATGTTTTTATATATTTGTATATATCTGAGACCCATAATACATGCCTAAAGATGATATGATAGGTGCACTTTAAAACGGCTAAAAAACAGATGTATAATGTATTCCATTTATACAGTTTTTATTTTCTTAAAATAAATGACACATTTCAATAAACCGTTTATTCTTGTAATTTGAATAGGATTTCCTGTCATTATGAAATACAATTTAAAAGAAAAAAAAAAAAAGTAATTTTTTGAGGGGAAAACTGTAAAATAAATCAAAAGATTATTTTGCACTATTTCATCTGTTTTATCTGTTTATGTCCTATATATATTCATGTTGCTCTGTTGGAGGAACCTGTGGCTTCAGTTTTCATTACCATATCAACACTGTAGCTGCTGAGCACATGATGATAAAGCCTGAATATTGAATCTTGAAACCTGGAGCTCAATGCTCTCAAGACAGTGAGATGGTTGTGGACTTCAAGAAGAACGCAGCCCCACCCGCCCCCATCACTCTGTGTGACTCCCCAGTCACTGCTGTGGAGTCTTTCCTCTTCCAGTGACTTTTATCCACCCCATAATAACATTACATTAATGCACATCATGGCAACAACACCTTGTTCTTTTTAACATTGTAAATCCTGCACATGCTGCACATCTCTTCTGCACACTTCCTCTTTTAAATCAGCACAGTTCTCCACTTTAAATAAAGTGTATAGTATTTGTCACATTTAAATATTGTTAATTGGTTTTAAAGGTCCCATGTCATGGCCATTTCCACTGATCATAATTCCATTGTTGAGGTATACTAAAATAGATTTATACTGTGCAATTTTCCAAACTCACATTGGTTTCGCATACAGCATCTCTGTAAAGTATGTGTATTCAGCAGTATTCACTCTCTCCACTAAACGACTCGTTGGAGCTCTTGCCCCCCCCTCCCTGTGAGCCTAGTGTGCTCCGATTGGTCAGCTCGGCCACTCTGTTCTGATTAGTCAACCACCAGAGAGGCTCCGCCCGCTTTTTTCGGGGAACATCAGTGTAATAATGGCGTCGGTACAGCCGTATATTTTATACGCTAACTAACCGAACTGTACCTACAACTGTTGTTATAGAAGAGTGTGACGGCCCCACGGCCCCAGGGCCTTTGTGCAGGTGTGTTGCAGGTCTTACGGTGGGGTGGAGCTGAAGAGGCTAATCAGCGCGATCACGGACACCTCCGTAGCCGAGGTGCTATTAATCCCAGCGGCCCAGCGGCTCGGCGATTCTCTCCCCGACCACCTATGTCTGCATTTACCACAATAAATGTGCCGTGGTTTTGTAAACTTGTGTATGTCTCCTTGCCTTTCCGTTGTGGCCTACGAGCCGGTCATAACAAAGAGTAAGTTATTTTTACCTGTAATAAACTACTACTGTTTGATGAGAAATCAAATCATGGTTTGCTATATATGAATGATATGTTATAGGAGCAAATAATTCAGGGAAGAAAGGATAGGCCTACTAAGTATTTCCATTAAACTTTATTTTTAGAAATGTACAAAATGAACATAAATATATATATATATACACACGGTATATCATCCATTCCTCCCCGCATCTTGCCTGGGCGCAGCCGGTGCCTTTTAGCACGAGGCCTCAGTAGTAGTAGTAGTCCCGTCCCCGTCATGTATTGTCCGCCAGGATCTGGCTGGACGAAATCAAATGCAAATCACAAAATATTAGAGAAACTTGGTTGTTTTAGATTCGTTAGTAGTAGTTGTGGTAGGAGTGTGGATCTATCTAATCCATCTATCTAATGAACAGCTTGCCTGCTAATATGCTAACCTAGCTTTGTTTACCTTGGTAGCTAACACGATATGAACGTTAGCTTGGAGGAATGGCAACTATAATGGAGAGTAATAAAACTACTATGAACAAAAGCTAGTGGTTCATATTAGGCTAGCAATAACGTGTTTATAATTGCAATATTATACGGGTATTCTGCTACGTTCGGTCATACATTGTAACTTGCATGAATACATTGTTTTGCGCTAACATGTATAGCTAGCCTCATTAGCTATACATGCAGTATGTACATGTACTGTCACAATGTACGGTAAATCACCCGGAGTATACTGTATGAGTATTCCGTGTGTGTGACTGCAGACATTCTCCTGCCATGACAAACATGTAAGGCCATCTGCTGACATTGTAGTTGATATATTTAAACGCTAGCAACGTAGCATAACAAAAATGTTTTTCCGACCAAACTAAGGTCTAGCTCCGTCAGTTAGCTCGGTAGCATACACGCTACGCCAGCTATAATGTAGTTACGTTTCGCGACTGACCGAACGGTAAATCACCAGGAGTCTATGACTATTTCGTGTGTGAATGCAGACATTATCCAGCTATGTGGAACATGTATGTAAGGCGATCTGCTAATATTGGAGTTGATATATGGAAACGCTAGCAACTTAGTTAGCCCAGTTAGCACTATGTCAATGACTTAGGAGTCCGGTTTACACATTTAAACAGTCGTGGTAGATACCTTGTTTGATAAATACACAAATAACAATGCAAACTTACAGGTTGTGTACCCGAATCTTCCCCTGCTCCAAATGGTCCAAACAAGCTGTGCATATCCGGCCTCAAACTGGGCAATGTTTTGGAAGCTTTCGTCTGTGAAATGCCGGTTCTTCGAACCTCTGAAGGAACAGTGTTAAAAAGAAATTTCAACCACTGACTTCGTCGTGGTTCTTCCGTCGGTAGGACAAACAGCTCAGATTTCTCCTCACATTTCAGGAAACAGGTCCTTGGCATTGGCATGACTGGATCGATTGTGAACTGAACCAGAGCTTCCAACAGTAAATGTTAGGCTGGCAGAGGGTGCGGCCAGCGCCGCTGGGTGTGGCCATAGCTCTTCGGGATTGGTCCATTTCGTTCCGGGTACCGCATGACATCAGGCCGTACCCGGAACTAAATGGAAGACTCAAATGGGCAGTGACGTATCTCCAACGAGGCGTTTTGGGGAGGTATTTTCTGTGTTAGAGTTTTACTCGCTACAGGGTGTACTTTGAGGGTTTTGACTCTGCACACCGTTTACATGCATAAAAACCTTCATAACACACAAGGGGACGGGTAATAACCGGAAAAGCATGACATGGGAGCTTTAATAGTTTTAAAATAGTTTTGTTTTAAATAGCTGTCATAATCCTATTTGTATTTTATTTTGTTTTGCTAAGATGTTTCTTTCCGTGCTCCACATATACTAAAGCAAATTCCTCGTTATGTGTAAACCTACTTGGTAAATATAACCGATTCTGATTCTGATGAATATGTGTTTCCTGTTTCCTGCAGACGTCCAGCAGCTGGTGGTGGTTAAAGAAGAGGTTCCCCCTGAGCAGCAGGAGTGGAGCTCCAGTCTGGACCAGGAGGACCCAGAGCCCCCCCCACACATTAAAGAGGAACAGGAGGAACTCTGGAGCAGTCAGGAGGGAGAGCAGCTTCAAGGGCTTGAGGAGGCTGATATCACCAAGTCCACATTCACTCCTGTCCCTGTGAAGAGTGAAGATGATGAAGAGAAACCTCAGTCCTCTCAGCTTCATCAAAGACAAACTGAACACCTGGAAACAGAAGCTGATGGAGAGGACTGTGGAGGACCAGAACCAGCCAGGAACTCAGATCCAGAGAGACATTTACAACCAGAGACTGAGGACAACCCGGGAGACTCTTCTGAACCTGACACTGAAGACAGTGCTGATTGGAAGAAGACCAGAGAACCAGGTTCAAACTCTCAGAGAAATAAACAAGACCCTGTCAGTGATTCAAGACGTAGTGCAGGAGAGAGACCATTCAGCTGCTCAGTCTGTAAGAAATCTTTTAAACAAGGAAGACATTTAAAGGAGCACATGAAAATCCACACAGGAGAGAAACCATACAGCTGCTCAGTCTGTGAGAAAAAGTTTGCAGGGAGAGGAAGTTTAAATCGACACATTGCAATACACACAGGAGAGAAACCATTCAGCTGCTCAGTCTGTACGAAAACTTTTGCAGGGAGAGGACTTTTAAATATGCACATGGTAATACACACAGGAGAGAAACCATTCAACTGCTCAGTCTGTGAGAAAACATTTGCACGGAAAGGATATTTAAATCTGCACATGAGAAGCCACACAGAAGAGAAACCATTCAGCTGCTCAATTTGTAAGAAATCTTTTAAACACAGTGGAACTTTAAAGGACCACTTGAGAAACCACACAGGAGAGAAACCATTCATCTGCTCAATTTGTAAGAAATCTTTTGCAGTGAGAGGAAGTTTAAAGGACCACATGAGAATCCACACAGGAGAGAAACCATTCAGCTGCAGTGTTTGTGACAAAAAGTTCAACCGGAGTCAAAAGGTCAAAAGACACAAGTGTGTTGGTCGTCAGTCCTCACAGCTTCATCAAACTGAGGAGAACAGAGAGGCAGAGCCTCCAGCCAGCAGCTCAGCTGAACACATGGAAACAGAAGCTGATGGAGAGGACTGTGGAGGACCAGAACCAGCCAGGAACTCAGATCCAGAGAGACATTTACAACCTGAGACTGAGGACAACGAAAAGGATGACATATTCTGTTCATTTTCAGGTTAGTATTAGTATGTTGTCTTCACTGGGACATGTCTCCATGCTTTAATGTTGAAAAAGCTCTTTATTTTTGTCATACTGCCTCGTTTCACCCTCTGTCTGAAACCAGAGCCCAGTCTGGTCTGAATGGTTAGCTGGCCTGCTCCGTTGTGATTGGTCGACCAGTTAGAGATGTTAGAGAACACAAGGCAATTCAAAGTGCTTTACAAAAATGTCATTAAGAAAATGGCATTTAAAAACAGTCATTAAAAACCAAAGATAATAAAATAAACATTAAAAGAAAAAATACATGGATAAAAGTTACAGTGCAGTGTGAGATATGAACAGTTCAATTAAAAGCAGCGGCAAAAAGAAAAGTCTTCAGCCTGGATTTAAAAGTAGTAAGAGTTGCAGCGGACCTGCAGGTTTCTGGGAGTTCGTTCCAGATATTTGGAGCATAATAACTGAACTTCTCCATGTTTGGTTCTGACTCTGGGGACAGCAAGCAGAGCAGAAGACCTGAGAAATCTGAATGGTTCATCATTTAGCAGTAGGTCATAAATATATTTTGGGCCTAAACCATTCAATGCTTTATAAACCAGCAGCAGTGTTTTGAAATCTTAGACACACAGGAAGCCGGTGTAAAGACTTCAGAACTGGACTGATGTGATCCACTTTCTCAGTGTCAGTGAGGACTCGAGCAGCGGCGTTCTGAATTAGCTGCAGCTTTCTAATAGATTTTTTAGTGCAGTAGTCGAGTATACTGAAGATAAAAGCATGGACAAGTTTTTCCAAATCCTGCTGTGACATTGGTCTTTTAATCCTAGATATGTTCTTTAGGTGATAGTAGGCTGATTTAGTAACTGTTTTAATTTGACTGTTGAAACTCAGGTCAGAGTCCATGACTACACCTAGATGTCTGGCTTTATCTGTTATCTAAGTCCGAAAACCATTACCTCAGTTTTATCTTTGTTTAATTGGAGAAAGTTCTGACACATCCAGCCATTGATTTGTTCAATGCACTTACTCAGTGTTTGAATTGGAGCATAATCTCCTGGTGAAATGGTTATGTAAATGTGGGTGTCATCCGCATAGCTATGGTAACTTATTTTGTTGTTTTTAATTATCTGAGCCAGTGGTAGCATGTAGATGTTAAAGAGAAGAGGCCCCAGGATGGAGCCTTGAGGAACCCCACATGTCATATTTGTCAACTCAGATGTGTATTTACCTATAGAAACAAAGTTGTTTCTGTCCTTTAAGTAGGATTCAAACCAGTTTAGAACTGTTTCCGAAAGTCCCACCCAGTTTTCCAGTCGGTCTAGTAATATGTTGTGGTCAACAGTGTCAATCGCAGCACTGAGATCTAATAATACTAACACTGAAGTTCTGCCACTGTCTGTGTTTAAGTGGATGTCATTGAAGACCTTTACAAGAGCAGTCTCAGTGCTGTGGTTTGGACGAAATCCTGACTGGAACACATCGAAACAGTGATTTGAATTCAAGAAATTACCCAGCTGTTGAAAAACAACTTTTTCAATGATTTACCTAGAAATGGCAGGTTTGATATTGGCCTGTAATTGTTCATTACTGAAGCATCTAGATTATTCTTTTTTAAGAGCGGTTTAATGACTGCAGTTTGCAGGGCCTGTGGAAAAAAACCTGAGTGAAGAGACTTATTTACTATATGAAGGAGTTCTGAGGCCATGCAATGAAAAACATTTTTGAAAAATCCTGTTAATAATAATATCAAGGCAGCAGGAGGAGGATTTTAGATGTTGTATAATGTCCTATAGGTCTTTATCATTAATCAGACGGAATTGTGTCATGGTGTTTGAATTGATTTTAAGTGGATACAGGGACATCTGCTGTACCTGATACAGAGGCACTGACTGCTTGTCTAATTTTCTGAAATTTGTCAGTGAAGAAGGAGGCAAAATCATTGCACGCCCTGGTGGATAGAAGTTCAGAGGCTACTGACACTGGGGGGTTAGTTAGTCTGTCGACGGTAGCAAACAAGGCACGTGCATTGTTTTTGTTTTTGGAAATGATGTCAGAAAAGAAAGACTGTCGGGCAATTTTCAATTCCAAATTATAAAAGCCAAGTCTCTCTTTATAGATTTCAAAATGAACCTGGAGATTTGTTTTTCGCCACCTGCGTTCAGCTTTCCGACACTCTCTTTTGGCTGTTCTCACGGTCATGGCCTTTCTCCATGGAGATATTTTCTTTCCAGTCACTTCCTTTACCTTGGTGGGACCAATAGCATCTATAACAATTGTAATTGTTGAATTAAAATGATCTACTAGCTCATTTACTAAAATGTTAGCAGGGGCAAGTGTGGAAGAAACATTCTGAGTAAACATATCCCTAGTATTTTCAGTTAAATATCGTTTTGTGGTTACCTCTTTTTGAACATTTAAAAAAATCCCCAACAATGACTAGACGGTCGCAGTCAATACACACTATAGACAGCAGTTCAGTAAGGTCATCAAAAAGCTTGCGCAGTTTTTGGGTGGTCTATAGATATTTAGGAACAGAGCTCGAGAGGAGCATTTCAGCTGAAGGGCCACATATTCAAAAGAAGCAAAGTTCCCATAAGATGTCTTCCTGCAGGCTTTAGCTGTTGCTAGGCCATGCTACTGTAAAACTGAGGTCGTCGTAAAAATATTGAAATATGGCTGAAACCCTCCGTCTTTTTACGAAGAATAACTGTCCCAGTGATGAGTTAATGTCCAGGATCCGCTGCTCGAAGTTTTCAGAAAAGAAAAATAGGAAAATCAGCATAAAAAAGTAAGCAGAGGCAAGAGCAAGCAGAAAGGTCTGCACTGTAAGAAAGCAACGTCGCAAGGTCATAGCGTTTGATGGTTTTTGCGACTGAACTTGAGGATACATTAAAAGTTCTTGACATTTTCCAGATCGACTGGCCTTCATTTCTTAAAGTGAGGATGGACGGTCGTTTCTCTTTACTGAGTTGAGTGGTTCTTGCCATAATATGGATTACAAAAGTAGTCAAATAGGGCTTTCCACTGTGCACTAACCCTACCTCTGCACAACACAACGGATGGTCTCAAACACATTAAGAAGGCAAGTAATTCAACAAATGTACTCTTGACGAGGCCCACGTGTTAATTGAAAACCATTCGACGACCTCATGAAGGTGACTGAGAGAAGCCCAGAGTGTGCAAAGCTGTCATCAAGGCAAAACGGGGATACTTTGAAGAATCTGAAATAAAAATCATATTCTGGATTTTTTTGTTAGCTAGATAATTCCATATGTGTTCTTTCATAGTTATGATGTCTTCAGTATTGATCTATAAAGTAGAACACATTTTAAATAAACACAAACCATTGAATTAATAGGTGTGTCCAAACCTTTGACTTGTACTGTAACTAAAAGGGGTGAGTTATAAAAAAATTCACTCCCCGAACTATTGTCTTGAAGGTGGAATCTAACTATATCCAGAATATGTTTTTTTGGATCCAGTCTAGCAACATGTTTATTTCTGCTGGAAAGTTGGGCATTTTGACATGGGGGTTTATGGAAATTGCTCCTTTTTGCATCCATCCCCTATCAATCAATCAATAAATCAATCAATCAATCAGTTTATTTATATAGCCCAATATCACAAATGTTACATTTGTCTCAGTGGACTTCACAGTTTGTACAGAATATCAGTATGACAATACGACACTCTCTGTCCTTAGACCCTCACATCGTACAAGGAAAAACTTAAAAAAAAGGAAAAACCCCACAGTTTAAAGGGAACATGGGAGAAACCTCAGGGAGAGCAACAGAGGAGGGATCCCTCTCCCAGGACGGACAGACGTGCAATAGATGCCGTGTGTAAATCGAAAAGATAATTTATTTACAACATAGGTAGACCACATGTTTGGAAATGCATGTGTCTATAATAATAAGATGAATCCACGAGGATGTCAACAATCCTGTGGGATCTATCAGGGAAGTAGTATGATGAAAGTCAGGCAGGACCACAGAGACAGGTTCAGCCACGACTCAAAATCCAGGACTCAGATCAGGACTCAGGATCAGCCACAACTCAGGATCCCAGCGTAGATAGACACCAAAAAGAAATGTGGGGGAAGCTGGGTTATTGGGAACATGAGAGTACACAGGTACAGACAGAGAGAAGGAAGAAGTAAGGTGTCCCCCGACAGTCTAAGCCTATAGCAGCAAAACTAGGGGCTGAATCTAATCAGCCCTAACTATAAGCTTTATCAAAAAGGAAGGTCTTAAGCGCACTCTTAAAAACGGATAGGGTGTCTGCCGCCCGAACACAAACTGGAAGCTGATTCCACAAAAGTGGAGCTTGATAAGAAAAGGCTCTGGCTCCCATTGTACTTTTAGAGACTCTAGGAACAACCAACAACCCTGCATTCTAGGAACGCAATGCCCTAGTAGGACAGTAGGGTATAATGAGTTCTTTAAGGTAAGATGGCGCCTGCCCATTAAGGGCTTTGTAGGTGAGAAGAAGAATTTTAAATGCTATCCTGTGTTCTCTAGGGAGCCAGTGTAAGGCAGCCAGAACAGGAGTAATGTGGTCCCTTTTCCTAACTCTGGTTAGTACACGAGCTGCAGCATTTTGAATCAGCTGAAGAGACTTCACTGACTTCTTGGTACACCCTGATAATAAAGAGTTACAATAATCCAGCCTTGAAGTTACAAATGCATGGACTAGTTTCTCTGCATCGTTTTGAGGCAAGATATGCCTGATTTTTGCAATGTTACGTAGATGAAAAAAGGCGGTCCTTGAGATTGATTTTATGTGGGCGTTAAAGGATAAATCCTGATCAAATATGACACCAAGATTCCTTACAGTCTCACTGGAGGCCAAATTAATGCCATCCATAGTTATATATCTTTAGATAGTTTGTTTTCGTAGAGCCTTTGGGCCGAGTACAATAACTTCAGTTTTGGCCGTGTTTAACATAAACAAGTTTAAAGTCTTCCACGTTTTTAAGTCCTTGAGGCAGTCTTGAATTGTATTTAGATGATTGGTTTCATCAGGCTTGATGGATAAATATAGTTGAGTATCATCCGCATAACAATGAAAATGTACAGAATGATTCCTTATAATATTGCCTAGCGGAAGCATATATAATGTGAACAAAATGGGTCCAAGCACTGAGCCCTGTGGCACTCCATGGCTAACTTTGGTTTGCATGGAAGATTCATCGTTGACACGTACAAACTGAGAGTGTTCAGATAGATCGGACCTAAACCAGCCTAAAGCAGTTCCCTGTATGCCAACTAAGTGCTCTAGTCTTTGCAATAAGATGTCATGGTCGATAGTATCAAATGCAGCACTGAGATCGAGCAAGACAAGAATAGAGACAAGTCCTTCAGGCTATTAGAAGGTCATTTGTGACTTTAACCAGAGCGGTTTCTGTGCTATGATGTGTTCTAAAGCCAGACTGAACATTTTCAAATAAATCATTGTTTTTTAAGTAATCACACAACTGTTTTGCGACTGCTTTCTCAAGAATGTTTGAGAGGAACGGAAGATTAGAAATAGGTCGCAGCGCATCTGTAGCACTATCAACAACAAGATCAATTTGGGGTGGTGTACATTTTGTATAAGTTTCCTCCCTTACATGCAGACAAGCTATCGAGTTAAGTATTGATGGAATCTCTTCCTTAAATGTGGCTATAGCACTAACGGATAGATTTCTGCTGCAGGAACTTTTGACTAATGGTTTGTAATCTAGTAACAGTACTTCAAAAGTTACTATTTTTTTTCGGATAAAGCAGGATTATGCGGTTCGACTAATAGTTGCTCAATTTCAATACCATAAATCAGAACAAGGTTGAGAGTGTGATTATAACAGTGGGTTGGTTTATTTACACTCTGATGGAAACCAATAGAATCTAATACAGAGTTAAATGCAACAGTAAGGCTATTTTTATCGTCGTCAACATGAATATTAAAGTCACCTACGATAATTACTTTATCTGTTTTAAGTACCAACGTTGATAAAAACTCAGAGAATTCTGATAATAATTCTGAATAAGGACCTGGTGCACGGTACACTGTAACAAATACGATTGGCTGCAATGTTTTCCAGGTCGGATGCGTAAGACTAAAAACAAGGCTTTCAAAGGAGGTATAATGTAATTTTGGTAAACTTGAGTCAAAGATGGCTGCAACTCCACCTCCTCGGCCTGTGCCTCGAGCAATATGAGTATTGTTTGTTTGTAGCCTTTATTTAACCAGGTGAAAAATCCCATTGAGATCAACGATCTCTTTTTCAAGGGAGACCTGCGAAATATTGATATGGCTGGGTGGAGTGGCCTCATTTATGCTGACATATTCTTCATGTCTCAACCAAGTTTCAGTGAGACAGCATATATCAATATTATAATCTGATATTAAATCATTTACCAATATTGCTTTAGATGCTAGAGATCTTATATTTAACAGACCACATTTAATCTTCCTGTTTTGTTGCACTGTAGTAGTTGTTACATTTACTTTGATTAGATTATTATGTATGACACCTATTAGGTTTTACTTTGAATTTTCCTTGGGCAGACACACACACCGTTAATATTGGGTATTTTATTGGGTTCGGGATTCCTATGAGTGACTGCCCAGAAGAGAGCGCAGAGAAGTGTGTAAGACTGCGACTCCGCCTCCTGGTCTCAACTCCAGTTTGTCATGGATTAAGTCCACAAAGCCCTGAAATGTTTGCCGAAATGAGATATTCCCCTTCCAAAGTAGGATGAATGCCGTCTCTCTTAATCAGACCAGGTTCTCCCCAGAAGGCTGTCCAATTCTTTACGAAAGCCACATCGTTTGCTGGGCACCACCTAGACAACCAGCACTGAAATGATGACATGCGGCTATACATGTCGTCATTGATCAGATTGGGGAGGGGACCAGAGAAAATGACGGTGTCCGACATTGCTTTTGCATATCTACACACCGAACTATTAACCATTAACTTTGGTGCATTCTGATTGGCGTAAACTAACATCATTACCACCGACGTGAATAACAATCCTACTGTATTTACATTTATTCTTAGCCAGCAGTTTAAGATGCGCCTCAACGTCGCCCGCTCTGGCCCCTGGAATGCATGTGACTGTGGAGGCTTTGGTCTCTAAATTCACGTATCTCATAATAGAGCTACCAATAACCAGAGTTGGCTTCTCAGCGGGTGCCTCGCAGAGTTGGGAAAATGTGTTAGATACGTGAACGGGTTGGTGGGGACCTGTGGGTTTTGCGTAATGCCTCTTCTGAACAGTCACCCAGTCTCCCGGCTGCTCGGGAGTTGCCGGGGGACGGCTAATAGGAGCTACCTCTTCCCGGTCCGTACCGACTAACATGGCTTTACTGAAGCTGAGTTACTTTCTAAAATGCGGAACCGTGCTTCTATGTCTATGATTCCCGCCTCCAACCTAGCAACTATACTACATTTAATACATGTATGGGTACCAGTAAAGGAGGAAGGGAAGTAACCAAACATGAGACAGGTAGAGCAGGAAATAGCACCCGAGGGTGGGGAAAGAGCCATTGCTAGCCATCAAGCTAAAGTAGCTACCGTTTAGCAAACCCAAAAGGAGTGTAAGCAACTGTGGTGTTAGTCGCTAAGAGAAGGAGAGTTGTGAGAGCTTAAGCTGTAGTAACGTGTGATTACAACGTCAGGTAGCTGCCGTGATCAAGAATTTTAAAACGATCGATTTAAGATAATATAAGCTATCAGCACAGAACAGGCACAAAGGATACCCGGAGATGACAACAACAACCGGAAGTGACAACACGCTTACCGCAATAGTGAGGGTCCCATTGGCCAATAGATGAACTGCAGTTTGTGGCACTTCCTTTTGGGCTTCACGGCTCTGCCCCGGAGTTTGTCGCTTGGTTTGCATCTTGCAAATTATGTTGCACTGTTGGAGGAGCATGTGACTTCAGTTTTCATTACCATATCAACACTGTAGCTGCTGAGCACATGATGATAAAGCCTGAATATTGAATCTTGAAACCTGGAGCTCAATGCTCTCAAGACAGTGAGATGGTTGTGGACTTCAGGAAGAACGCAGCCCCACCCGCCCCCATCACTCTGTGTGACTCCCCAGTCACTGCTGTGGAGTCTTTCCTCTTCCAGTGACTTTTATCCAGCCCATAATAACATTACATTAATGCACATCATGGCAACAACACCTTGTTCTTTTTAACATTGTAAATCCTGCACATGCTGCACATCTCTTCTGCACACTTCCTCTTTTAAATCAGCACAGTTCTCCACTTTAAATAAAGTGTATAGTATTTGTCACATTTAAATATTGTTAATTGGTTTTAATAGTTTTAAAATAGTTTTGTTTTAAATAGCTGTCATAATCCTATTTGTATTTTATTTTGTTTTGCTAAGATGCTTCTTTCCATGCTCCTACTTCGTAAATATAACCGATTCTGATTCTGATGAATATGTGTTTCCTGTTTCCTGCAGACGTCCAGCAGCTGGTGGTGGTTAAAGAAGAGGTTCCCCCTGAGCAGCAGGAGTGGAGCTCCAGTCTGGACCAGGAGGACCCAGAGCCCCCTCCACACATTAAAGAGGAACAGGAGGAACTCTGGAGCAGTCAGGAGGGAGAGCAGCTTCAAGGGCTGGAGGAGGCTGATATCACCAAGTCCACATTCACTCCTGTCCCTGTGAAGAGTGAAGATGATGAAGAGAAACCTCAGTCCTCTCAGCTTCATCAAAGACAAACTGAACACCTGGAAACAGAAGCTGATGGAGAGGACTGTGGAGGACCAGAACCAGCCAGGAACTCAGATCCAGAGAGACATTTACAACCTGAGACTGAGGACAACCCTGGAGACTCTTCTGAACCTGACACTGAAGGCAGGGCTGATTGGATGGAGACCAGAGAACCAGGTTCAAACTCTCAGAGAAATAAACAAAACTCTGTCAGTGATTCAAGACGTAGTGCTGGAGAGAAACCATTCATCTGCTCAGTCTGTAAGAAAGCTTTTACACAGAGAGCACATTTAAAGGAGCACATGAAAATCCACACAGGAGAGAAACCATTCAGCTGCTCAGTCTGTGAGAATAAATTTGCACGGAAAGGATATTTAAATCTGCACATGAGAAGCCACACAGGAGAGAAACCATTCAGCTGCTCAGTCTGTAAGAAATCTTTTGCAGTGAGAGGAAGTTTAAATGACCACATGAGAATCCACACAGGAGAGAAACCATTCAGTTGCTTAGTCTGTGATACATCTTTTAAACGGAGAGACAGTTTAAAGGGCCACATGAGGATACACACAGGAGAGAAACCATTCAGTTGCAGTATTTGTGACAAAAAGTTCGCCTGGAGTCAAAAGGTCAAAAGACATAAGTGTGTTGGTCGTCAGTCCTCACAGGTTTATCAAACTCAAACTGAGGAGAACAGAGAGGCAGAGCCTCCAGCCAGCAGCTCAGCTGAACACCTGGAAACAGAAGCTGATGGAGAGGACTGTGGAGGACCAGAACCAGCCAGGAACTCAGATCTAGAGAGACATTTACAACCAGAGACTGAGGACAACCCTGGAGACTCTTCTGAACCTGGGATTGAAGACAGTGCTGATTGGAAGGAGACCAGAGAACCAGGTTCAAACTCTCAGAGTAATAAACAAGACCCTGTCAGTGATTCAAGACGTAGTGCAGGAGAGAAACCATTCAGCTGCTCAGTCTGTAAGAAATACTTTTTGCTCCAAATGCTGACCTTTTTCTAAAATGTTTCCGAAAATCTCTAAATTCTGGCTTTTGCAGAAAACCTCAGAATTTTGACTTTTTCTTAAAATCAATTCATTTTTACTTATTTTCTCAAAATTCTGCTTTTAGAAAAAGTCAGCATTTTGGGAAAAATAATTTGGAGAAAAATGTATTATGAGATATGGAGAAAAAAGTCAGTTTTGATTTTAAGAAAAAGTCAAAACTCTGAGGTTTTCTGCAAATGCCAGTATTGAGAGATTTTCGGAAAAATGTTGCATTTTAGAAAAAGGTCATTATTCTGAGTTTCCCAGAAAAAAGTCAGAATTCTGAGAAAACAAAGTCAGGATGTTGAGATTTTCTTAAAAATTCAGCATTTTAGAAAAAAGACAGAATTTGGAGAATTATTATTGTAGAGATTCTATGTATTGTCGAGAGGAAGATAAAGCACACGAGACCCAACGATGCAGACGAGCTGAAGGCCGCTAGTGAAGCAACCTGGGCTTCATCACACCTCAGCAGTGCCACAGACTGATAGTCTCCATGCCAAGCCACATTGATGCAGTTATTCATGCTAAAGGAGGTCCAACCAAGTACTGACAGCAGGAACATTAACATACTTGTCAGAAGGCCAGCACTTCTATATAAACAAAGTGGGCGGAACTTAGCAAAACCATCAGCAAGCATTTAAAATAAGGAATGGATAAGGGCTGCAAAGTTAATTAATTGTTAATCGTGGTTAGATTTTAAATTCTTATACTCTAGAGTTTCTCTGAATATGTGCTTCCTGTTTCCTGCAGACGTCCAGCAGCTGGTGGTGGTTAAAGAAGAGGTTCCCCCTGAGCAGCAGGAGTGGAGCTCCAGTCTGGACCAGGAGGACCCAGAGCCCCCCCCACACATTAAAGAGGAGCAGGAGGAACTCTGGAGCAGTCAGGAGGGAGAGCAGCTTCAAGGGCTGGAGGAGGCTGATATCACCAAGTCCACATTCACTCCTGTCCCTGTGAAGAGTGAAGATGATGAAGAGAAACCTCAGTCCTCTCAGCTTCATCAAAGACAAACTGAACACCTGGAAACAGAAGCTGATGGAGAGGACTGTGGAGGACCAGAACCAGCCAGGAACTCAGATCCAGAGAGACATTTACAACCAGAGACTGAGGACAACCCTGGAGACTCTTCTGAACCTGACACTGAAGACAGTGCTGATTGGAAGGAGACCAGAGAACCAGGTTCAAACTCTCAGAAAAATAAACAAGACCCTGTCAGTGATTCAAGACGTAGTGCTGGAGAGAAACCATTCAGCTGCTCAGTCTGTAAGAAATCTTTTAAACACAGTGGAACTTTAAAGCAGCACTTGAGAAACCACACAGGAGAAAAACTATTTATCTGCTCAATTTGTAAGAAATCTTTTGCAGTGAGAGGACATTTAAACGGCCACATGAGAATACACACGGGAGAGAAACCATTCAGCTGCAGTATTTGTGACAAAAGATTCACCTGGAGTCATCATGTCAAAAGACATAAGTGTGTTGGTCGTCAGTCCTCACAGCTTCATCAAACTCAAACTGAGGAGAACAGAGAGGCAGAGCCTCCAGCCAGCAGCTCAGCTGAACACCTGGAAACAGAAGCTGATGGAGAGGACTGTGGAGGATCAGAACCAGCCAGGAACTCAGATCCAGAAAGACATTTACAACCAGAGACTGAGGACAACCCTGGAGACTCTTCTGAACCTGACACTGAAGATAGGGCTGATTGGAAGAAGACCAGAGAACCAGGTTCAAACTCTCAGATAAATAAACAAGACCCTGTCAGTGAATCAAGACGTAGTGCAGGAGAGAAACCATTCAGCTGCTCAGTCTGTAAGAAATATTTTTTACTCGAAATGCTGACCTTTTTCTAAAATACAAAATGTTTCAGAAAATCTCTAAATTCTGGCCTTTGCAGAAAACCTCAACATTTTGACTTTTTCTTAAAATCAATACATGCTGATGTATTTTCTCAAAATTCCACCTTTTCGAAAAAGTCAGCATTTTGGGAAAAAGTAAGAATTTAGAGAAAAATGTATTGAGATATGGAGAAAAGTCGGTTTTGATTTAAAAAAAAAAGTCAAAACTCTGAGGTTTTCTGCAAAAGCTAGAATTTAGAGATTTTCTGAAAATTGTTTTATTTTAGAAAAAGGTCAGAATTTGGAGAATTATTATTGTAGAGATTCTATGTATTGTCGAGAGGAAGATAAAGCACACGAGACCCAACAATGCAGACGAGCTGAAGGCCGCAAGTGAAGCAACCTGGGCTTCATCACACCTCAGCAGTGCCACAGACTGATAGTCTCCATGCCACGCCGCATTGATGCAGTTATTCATGCTAAAGGAGTCCAACCAAGTACTGAATGCATACACATGAACATACTTGTCAGAAGGCCAGCACTTCTATATAAACAAAGTGGGCGGAACTTAGCAAAACCATCAGCAAGCATTTAAAATAAGGAATGGATAAGGGCTGCAAAGTTAATGAATTGTTAATTGTGGTTAGATTTTAAATTCTAATACTCTAGAGTTTCTCTGAATATGTGCTTCCTGTTTCCTGCAGACGTCCAGCAGCTGGTGGTGGTTAAAGAAGAGGTTCCCCCTGAGCAGCAGGAGTGGAGCTCCAGTCTGGACCAGGAGGACCCAGAGCCCCCCCCACACATTAAAGAGGAACAGGAGGAACTCTGGAGCAGTCAGGAGGGAGAGCAGCTTCAAGGGCTGGAGGAGGCTGATATCACCAAGTCCACATTCACTCCTCTCCCTGTGAAGAGTGAAGATGATGAAGAGAAACCTCCATCCTCTCAGCTTCATCAAAGACAAACTGAACACCTGGAAACAGAAGCTGATGGAGAGGACTGTGGAGGACCAGAACCAGCCAGGAACTCAGATCCAGAGAGACATTTACAACCAGAGACTGAAGACAACCCTGGAGACTCTTCTGAACCTGACACTGAAGACAGGGCTGATTGGAAGGAGACCAGAGAACCAGGTTCAAACTCTCAGAGAAATAAACAAAACTCTGTCAGTGATTCAAGACGTAGTGCAGGAGAGAAAGCATTCAGCTGCTCAGTCTGTAATCGATCTTGTAAACGGAGAGGACATTTACATGATCACATGAGAATCCACACAGGAGAGAAACCATTCAGCTGCTTAGTCTGTAAAAAATCTTTTACACAGAGAGGACATTTAAAGAAACACATGAGAATCCACACAGGAGAGAAACCATACAGCTGCAGTGTTTGTGACAAAAGATTCACCCTGAGTAGTCATGTCGAAAGACATAGGTGTTTTGGTCGTCAGTCCCCACAGCTTCATCAAACTCAAACTGAGGAGAACAGAGAGGCAGAGCCTCCAGCCAGCAGCTCAGCTGAACACCTGGAAACAGAAGCTGATGGAGAGGACTGTGGAGGACCAGAACCAGCCAGGAACTCAGATCCAGAGAGACATTTACAACCTGAGACTGAGGACAATGATGATTGTTAGGTTTAAACTCTTTGGGTAAGTCCCAGTAAGTCGTATATAAAGCGATAACTCGACTGTTTGTGATAAAAAATGTTTGGTCCAAGTAAAGAGAGGACTGTGGAGGACCAGAACCGGCAACATTTACAACCAGAGACTGAGGAGGTTTCCATATTGGGTTATGTAATTAAAACGAAAGTTAATATAATCAAATATAATTTTGTCGGATCCACAATGTAAAATGCATGATATGTCATGAAGCTCTATACTTATATACTAAATGTACATGGAGGCGTGTGGCGCAGTGGATAGAGCGTTGGTGTTCGGATCAAGGGTTCAAACCCCACTGCAGTCAGCATGTCGTTGTGTCCCTGAGACACTTCACCCTAAATTGCTCCTGTGGGGATTGCCCACAGTATTGAGTATGTAAGTCGCTTTGGATAAAAACGTCTAACAAGTGACATGTCATGTAATGTAATGTAATGTTTGATAAACTGACATGAAAGAGTGTAAGGTCTGATACAGTTTATCACTAAAGGTGTCACTATTCAGCAGAGGGAAGCAGAGGTTGCGCTAGACTTTTTCGCTGCCCGTAATTTTGACAGACAGGATCTTAACATTTCCGTCAAAATCCATTATTAACCCGTCGGTCTGTACAACTGGGGGGGGGGGGGCACGGGCTCGTGAACTGTAGCGCCGTGTTATGCATGCCCATTGCCCACTGCACCTCGCGGGAGCGCGCACAGCGTAAAGCAAAAACTCAGACATTTCAATGATTGTACGGCAAACGACATAATTTCCTTTTTGACGGGCATGCATAACACGGCAAAACACCGGAGCCTCGCTGCCGGGAAACTTTGGCGCTGTTCTGGGTTTGTTGTTCTAATCTGTCAAAAATGCTGCTCGATACTGCTTTCAGATTTTTCCGTCATTGTTAAAAGAAATCCGTCATAGACGGGAAATATTCGGTTAACGCGACCACTGGAGGGAAGACACCCTTACTCTATCAGAAGAAGGCCCCTGACTCACACCCGGAAGCAATGACTCTTCTCCACATACATGGGTCTGTTGGTGGGTATTCACTTCTGCTTCTGTTGGTATGATATAAAAGCAGCAGCTGAGAGAGGAAAACAGGTCTTAGGGTTCTTAACTGGGAATTTCTCCCTAGATTGTATTTACCCGCTGTCATCATGAGGAAATGCCTCTGGAGATATGCAGGGGGTTTTAACAAAAAGGAAAACATGTAAACCGGTAAATTAATAATTAATACCAGAGAGTGAGACATTGTATAACTGTCCCATTGTAACCAGATAAAGTAAAAAACTGTGTTAGAGTGTGGACCATTTCTTCAAATAAAACCATCCCACCCATTTGGACTGGGGTAACTTAAATGAATTAAACGCTATCCTCTCCTGATTTAGGGTAAGATTGCACGACTGCCACACCTCACTACAGGTACTAGAATCCTACGGGATCGCTGCAGCAAGATGTTGGAGATCTTCTACCAGTCTGTAGTTGAAGATCTGCTACCAGTCATTTTTTCCGTAAAAAATATTTCTTCCATGATTGTTACCCATTGGTTTTTCGTTGGTTGTGCGTCCTCACCCCAATTTCCTATTGAAAGCTTTCTTGCTGGATATTAGCATAATTTTGATCAACTATCTGTCACTTGCAATAATTTCGTCAGTGAATTTACATAAATAGAGTACCAAACTACTTTTAGAAACATCATAAGTAGTTATGCAAATGCCACTCTCGTCACATTAGTATACATACAAAGTGACAGGTGGTGTGACAGGTCACACCTACTACTACTTATGATAATGACTTCCTTTGATATGCTAATGACCCCCTTTGTTCGAGGTGTTATCGCGTGTAGGTGTGATATCACAGATAGGTGTGATATCCTTTGATGTGAGGGGGGTGAGGTGTTGTAACTTGCCGGTGTGATATCACATCGGCGTGTTATAAGCCTTTGATTTCAATCTAATTACCCTCTGAAGTCTGTCCTTTGATCAGTGTTTGTAACTAGTGTTAATTAAGGTAGTCTCTTTGAAGTTGTGTGAGACTGTCTCGCACCCCCGTCCTCCTCCAACCCCGTCCCCCTTCCTTTTGCTGTGATGCCAGAAGATAGTGAGGGGGTGGAGTTAGGTAAAAAAAAAAGAAATCCGTGCAAACTAGATAAAAAGCCTGTAATTTCCACTCACCAAGTCACCTAAGTGACAACTTACCGCCATCCGTCGGGAGCGCCAGTCAAGAAATGCATGCAGTATCTGTGCCGGGTTCAAACCCCTCCGTCTGAGGCTCTTCATGAAAAATGGAGTCTGGAAAATGGAGATGTTTGGGGTTATGTGTTCAACTATATGACGAATGAACTACATTTCTACAATCTGAAGAACGGAGAAACTTATGGGCCCCGCAGAAAAAGCAGTGAATAAAGAAACCATCGTGGATGCATTGTGGAGTCGTTCAGACATCGTACGTGCAATGTCCATGAAACCTGCAGCAAAAAGCAAAGAAACGCAAACTGTGGTCTGGATGTGTGAGACTGTCTCCCATCACACGGCTTGGAGAGCGGATAAAGAGAGGTGTATTTACTGGTGTTGAGCCCTGGATGATGTAAATAGTCCAAGTGCCATGGTTAACACAACATTACTTTTTTCATATTTTTCAACAAACTGTGATATTTGTTTTTTCTCTCCTTTTTCCATTATATTTTTGAATATACAGTGATTTTTATCAAAATACAACATGCAACTAATACATTATACAATATTACGACTTTTTGCGATATTTTCAACACAATATACTTGTACCTTTTTTTTTTGTAGGGCTTCAAAATATTTGGCATGTCATGCATAAAACCGGTGTCATCTTTCCTGAAACTGACGTGCTGTCCGTTTTACAAACAAGTTATTTTTCTGCTTCTTCACCCTCTGAATTTTCCTCCCCGTTCCGCTTCCTTCAGCCATCACAACAACAATCAAGTCAGATCTGTCAAATTAAACACCTCTTCCCAAAGTGTGACTTCCCTATTGAGGGGGTAGGGCAGTAGGGCCTAACATATACTAACATGCAGAACGTATGGTATGTTTGAAAAAGACTAACCATCTATCCAGTTCAAGCTGTCTTTAAGATGTGACATCGCGCTCTGACTTTTTCCCGTAAAATCGTGACAAACTATTACTTATTCTTAAATTTGACCTCTTGCTGCTTGGTTGAAAAATGATAGATGAAAAATAACTTTTTAAAAAGAGTCAAACAATGAGGGACATTATACGGGTGAAAGAAACTCTCATTTCTACAGATGACTCCCCCCACTCAACGCAATAAGTCCCACCCCACTCAGCAAATCATCCAAAACTAAGGACCCCACTAAGATGAACAGATTTTCTTTAAGACTGTGACTCTTAACCTGTTACGCACGGCCCGCCCGGTACCGGAAACAACGTCTAAGGAATCTTAATATTGAATAAAACTATGAATGTGTTATATCCATGTAACAGGAAGAAACTCAGCTAACTGATTTCTTTTTTTCAAAAAAAACCCACAATGCTAGCACTCAGCCTCTGAATTACCCAGGAGCGAAAAAATTTAACCTAAAACGGCACTTAAACTCACTCATAACTCCCTTATTACTTATCCTAGATACACAACCAACCACTCGTTTTTGGTGTCCTGGAGACACTGAATCTAGTGGTGCCCTCCTCAACACTCAGTGATAAACATTTACGACGCTATAAACGAAAGCGTACATCATAACATGTGGAGCTAAGTAGCTAGAAACGCTAACATGGCTTACCTTGGTCAAAACTGGTCTTCAATGGCATTAAAACGATAAAAAAACGATGCTGCAGTTAATCCATAGGTTCATCCTATGTATCTGTGCCTGCTTTGAAATTATTTCTGATAATCCATAAGCAATAAAACTGCTTTTTAGTTTCCAAATTCCAGAAGGAGAAATTCTTCCAATATGCTTTCAATTTCCAGACGCGCAGCCCCCACCATTTTTCTTTACAATGAGTGTGTATGTGGGCCTCCCCCTTCGATTCTATTGGCTCTAACGGTCAGAAAGGTGTGTCAACGATCAAAATCGACCAAGGGGGGCCAGAGATATAGAAAAAAAACTATTTTCACCCAAATCACCTCAGAGGTGGGGTGGTTTTGGCTAAACCTCTCTAAAAAGGTCAAATGTCACTTGTTTTGCATCAATCTTGATACAGGGTACTTATTATATGTTGTACTTTGGATTCCTAAAGCTTTTAGTCTACTAACCCATCATCCAAGGGTAGTTTTTACTATCTGTAAAAAATAATGTTTGGACGGACACTATAATTTACAGTTTTTTACTATGTAAAATCTGAATTTTCTTTAAAATAAAAAACATTTATATTGATTCTGACACTTCTACATCCAACTCACAGATGTAACCTTGCTTTGATAAAAGAAATTATTCATATAACCCTTTTAGAAGTTAAGTTGTAGTCATTTGTTTTGGGCATGTCATTTTCGAGCCTGAAACATGAAAAACAGGCTAGGTGCTTAACAGGTTAAAGGCACTCTGGGATTTTAGTAAGATACATGCAGCATCTGAAACATCTGCAACACATGCAACATCTGAAACACAGGCAACACAGGCAATACATGCAACATCTGAAACACATGCAACATCTGAAACACATGCAACATCTGAAACAGTTTTTCAAGCCTTATTGAAGAAACGAGGTATTGCACATTATGCAACAGCCAGTGACATGAAGGCGTGTGTGGTAGAGAGATTTAACCGTACGCTGAAAACTAAAATGAGGAGGTATTTTACAGCTAAAAAACACTCATAGATACATAGACGTCTTGCTTGAACTAATTGAAAGTTACAATAATAGTTATCACTGAAGTATTAAAATGACACCACTGCAGGTGACAAAGGAAAATGCAGCTCAAGTGTTTCGTAACCTGTATACCCCATCTAGCCATTGTAAAAAAGCTGCTACGAAAATGAACTGCAACATCTGAAACACATGCAACATCTGCAACACAAGCAACATCTGAAACATCTGCTACATCTGAAACATCTGTAACACATGCAACATCTGAAACACATGCAACACACACACACAACACACGCAACATCTGAAACACATGCAACATCTGAAACACCTGAAACACATGCAACATCTGAAACACATGCAACATCTGAAACATCTTCTCTTACTTTTGGATACAGTTTTATGTTTGTCAACTTTACAACTGATAGAAAGTTAAGTACTTTTTCTGAACAGATGTTCTTTAACCTGTTAAGTACCTAGCCTGTTTTTCATGTTTCAGGCTCGAAAATGACATGCCCAAAACAAATGACTACAACTTAACTTCTAAAAGGGTTATATGAATAATTTCTTTTATCAAAGCAAGGTTTCATCTGTGAGTTGGATGTAGAAGTGTCAGAATCAATATAAATGTTTTTTATTTTAAAGAAAATTCAGATTTTACATAGTAAAAAACTGTAAATTA